ATAGAATAGAAATAGAATAGAATATTGGAATGAAGAATAGAATAGAATATTGGCATGAAGAATAGAATATTGGAATGAAGTATAGAACATTGGAATGAAGAATAGAATAGAAATAGAATATTGGAATGAAGAATAGAATAGAAATAGAATATTGGAATGAAGAATAGAATAGAAATAGAATAGAATATTGGAATGAAGAATAGAATAGAAATAGAATATTGGAATGAAGAATAGAATAGAAATAGAATGGCTCTGCATGCCACCTGTGGGGGGGGGGAGGAGAGACTTTTGGCTTCATGCAAGGAAAGCAGCAGAAACAGAAAAACTTCTTCAGCTTTGCCAGCAAATTAAAACAGGCAGGCTGTGTTTAGATTCCCTCTTAAAGGGGTGGGGGGGCGGTTATGGCCCATTTCTATGGAGATGGCTTATCCTAAAGAATTTATGACTCTGTTGCCTGGAGACCACCGTCATAAACTTGGGTAGAAGTGGACCTCTTTATGACTCTTTCCTCCCAATGAACGGAGGGGAATCAACTTTGATTCTGGTGACCGGAGAGGCAAGAAATAGCACAGCTTTCAAACAATTCTGTCTCTTTTGCAAAACGGTCATTGAGGCAACACAGACAAACCGCAGAATGCAGAGAGAGCCAGCAAGGATGCTACTTGTTTGTCTCTTGCGAATGGGGCAAAATTCTGGCCCCTCCCAGTAATTCAAACAGGCTTTTTAAAATTTCCTTGCTCCGGGAGATATAGAGAGTGAAAGCTCTTTACTTTCCTAGGCTATCAGCTTTACCATATACTTTCACTCTTTCACAGGCAATCTGATTAACTTATATCTTCACTTTGGGAGTTCCGATTACGCCGTATTTTACTATGGGAGTTCCGATTTAACTGTATTTTTACTTCACGGGAATTCAGATAAAACTGTATTTTTACTTGGGGATTTCCTATGAAGATCAAAATACAGTTAAATCGGAACTCCCACAGTAAAAATATAGTTTTATTTGAACTCCTGTGAAGGATAAATCCCATCTCCTCTTAAGCAAAGTAAAACTACAATTAAATCGGAACTCCCAAAGTAAAGGTATAAGTTAATCAGATTGCCTGTGAGAGTGAAAGTATTGTAAACCTGTTTATGTATGTAACTGGAAGATGGTTTATGGTTTATGTTTTGGTTGTGTATGTTTGTCTAAAAATAAAAATTCTTATTTAAAAAAAAAGTTTCTTTCTCTCCCACCAACTCTGCCAGAAATGAGTCTTTGTTGCGCCGGTGCAGCCTCTCCGGGCAGGAGGCCTTGCAGGGTCCCAAAGAATCATTTCTGGCAGAGTTTGGGCAAGAGAAAGGAAGACTTGGGCTGCTTTCCTTGCGTGCAGCCAAAAGCAGAAGAAGAAAGAAGCGGAAAGAAGCAACCCGGTGGCCAGGCCAGGCGCGTGGGACAAGTCCCCCCCCCTTTCCCCCATCCCCTCACTACCCGGAGTTGTTCGCAATGCAAGCGACGCAAGCCTTGTGCTCCCGTGAGCCATGTGGGTGGTGCAACCTTGTGTTCCTGGATTAATTGCTTTGGGGGGGGGGTGTTTGACGTTCTTCTGTGGATCACCAACATTTTCTCGCGGACCAGCAGTGGTCCCCGGTCACTGGTTGGCGACCACTGCTTTACAGGACTCCTGCGAGCCTCCTGCCTGTCCCATTAACCATGGTTTCGTGGGGCTCGTGGTGTTTTACGCCCTGCAACACCCATGGGGAGCAGCCCCCACCCCCGAAATAAACTTTGCAGGCAGGTCCAACTCCTGCGGGGCTGTGTTAGCTGCAGAGAGAAGTTCACGCAGAAGAATCTTGAGCAAGGGTCTTCAACCGTGGCACGTTTAAGACTTGCGGACTTCAACTCCCAGAATTCCTCAACTAACGTGACTGGAGGAGGAACTCTGGGAGTGGAAGTCCCCAAGGCTTAAAGCTGTCAAGTGTGAAGGCCCCTGCCCTTGAGAGACGCTACAAAAAAACAAACACTCAAGACAAGTTTTGAGCTTGCATCCTTTTTTTATTCTGAAATATTTTCCTGACATGATTCCAAAGGGCCTTACACAAACCTGGGGCCACATAAAAAACAGCAGGCCCTGAAACAGGCAGGTGGAGAAATTTGCAGAATTTCTACTTATGTCTTTCTTTCCCCCCCTCACTCACCCCTGGCTTTTGCACCCCGATTTCCTGGGGCTCCACTTAAGAGAAGCTGGAAGATCAAGAAGCCGGACCCCAAAATTTGAGGCAATGCTAAGTCAGGGAAGGCGAACTTCAAAGCCCACCACAACGTAACCACGTTTGCAAGGAAAAGGTGAGTCTGAAAAACTCTAAACCAACATCTGCATATTTTGCAAAACATATATAAATATATAGACCTTGTTACAATATGGGGTGTCCATCCCAGCTTTGGATGGCCTTTAAGAAAAGATACTCCTAATAAAAATGGACACATTCATCACATTCGATTCCTTAAGACAGCTTTCCTTTGCACCCAATTCATAAATTACAGGGAATTCCTGTTATCATATTTACAAGGAGAAGAAATAGTCTTCCCACGAAAACAAAGCAGCCTTATTAACCTTTTATCAAATATGCCCCCTCCCCTCACGTTCGTACTAGAAGCTAAAAGTGATTTGGTTTAGCTCACACTAATTAAAAATTATAATCCATGATTGCACCCCACGCTTCAAGACCCGTTTGCTCAATTCAGCGCTAAACATGACCAAACATCAACATTAAATAAGCCCCCCTTTGCACAGAAAAGCGGCTCCCGGTTCCCAAGGGCAACCGTTTTTGGCTCTTCTACACATTTTGGTTTTTGAATCCAGAGCGGTGCTTGCGATTTTATATCGATTTAATGGGAGCAGGCACAGCCGAGCAGCTTCACACCCACCCCAACCCCGATATAATCGGCCTGAAATTTGAAGTGTTAGGTTCGTGCGGAACAAGTGCAAGGTTTAAACTTTGGCTGGACCCTAAATCCAAGCCAGAGGGCTCGTCCGGGTTCCCAGACGGGTTCCCAAGACACTTGTGAGCAAGATAAGGGAGACTTCTGCCCGTTCCTTCCTTCCTTCCTTCCTTCCCCACCGGGAAATTGGTCCCCTGGCACAAGAGGGGCAAAGTGCAGCTGGAGATCTGCTCTCAAATTGAACTTGGCTACGTAAACACCCCACCCCACCCCAGGTAAAAACAGTGAGGCGGCTTTTTAAGTGTCCCGGGCTTCCTTGCAGGAAGAAAGGTTGCCGCCGTATGTGTGAAGCATGGACACCAGCTGTCTGTGGAAGGAGAAAAAGTGCCCCACGCAAAGACCTGCCCAACAAGCTACCCCCCCACCATGGCATCGCAAGCACACACAATGTTCACCCAGCCTGTGGCATCGCTGCAATGTTTTCCTTTGGTTCGCTATCCCACCCTTGAAGAAAAAAAGAGAGAGAGAGAGAGAAAGAAAAAGAAAGAGAAATGGAGGGAGGAAGAAGAAAGGAATGAAAAAAAAAACAGAAAGGAGGAGGGAGGGAGGAAAAAAGACAGACAGAAAGAAGAAAAAAGGAAGGGAGAAAGAAGGAAAAAAAAAGAGAAAGACAGACAGACAGAAAGAGTGGAAGGGAGGAAGAAGGAAGAAAAAAAGAAAGAAAAGTGGGAGGGAGGGAAGAAAAAAGACAGGCAGAAAGAAGGAAAAAAGAGAGCAAAGGAAGAAGGAAAAAAAAGTCAGAAAGATAGTCAGAAAGAAAGAGGTTGGGTGGAAGAAGGGAGAAAGGAAAGAGAGAGAGAGAAACCCTGAGGTTGGTACATTCCTTTCAGGAAGAGGGACCCTGGGGTCAAAGGAGCCGGCGAGGGTCTTCCGGAAGCTTCCCCCTTGGCACAGCCGGAGTCCCAAGGGCAGAGGAGTCTTCTGCCTTGGGGGAAGGCAAGAGAAGACAACATGCCGTTATCGGGGGAAAAAAAAACCTCGTTTATCAAGGGAAGCCTCCCCAGAGGCTCCGGGAAAGACGCTGCCGCCCTTTGGGCAGAGGCCGGCGGAGAGACGCGCATCCTGGTTCACAAATTCGGTGTTTCGGAGTAAAGCTGTTGGATCTGTTCTTCGTACATCTTGCTTACCACGGGCCTCTTCAGCTTCATGGTTGGGCCTGGAAGACAGACACGTGGGTGTGGGTGGGTGTGCGTGGGTGGGTGTCACATTAGCACCAAAGCCCCCGCCCCTCTATATCCCTCTTTCGTTTTTTTCCGAAGCCGTGCAGAACCAAGATCCAGAGGAAGTCCGGAGGGAGGCGGGAGGAAGGACGCTGCTTGCTCTCTTAACACCACGAGGAGCGGGCTTACCAGACCCCTCCCCAGGTGGAGGCTGACCTTACGCTGGACAACCCAGAGCTAGGAGTCTCCTTGGCGTTGCCCCAATGGACGGAGGCAACTTTCCTGAGGTCGCCTTAAAACCCTTGGCGGATTCCGCCCTGGAGTAACGCAACCAATTCCACGTGGACAAGGGAGCAGAGGCTGCTTCCCTCTTTCAGTGTAGCATCTTGGAGGACGCAGTGCCGAAACAGGAGCGGGCCGGTGCCGAAAAGGCACCGAGCGCCAAAACGCACACGCGCAACCCGGAAACTAGAAGAGCAGCTCCCGGCGCAGGCATGCACAACGGCCACCTGGTCTTCCGGTTTCCAACGCGCATGCATGCGCCGACCAGCTGATCTTCAAGAGCGCCGGCCAGCTGGTCTTTGCCCGTGGCATTAGAAACCAGAAGATCCGGTGGCTGGCGTGCAAGCACGCGCCGGGAGCTGCTCTTCCAGTTTCCCACACTCCCGCCTGCGCGAAAGACCAGCTGGCCGGCACAAACGGGAACCCGGAAGAGCAACAGGCGATGCGCCTCTGCCTGCCGCTTCCGGCACCCTCGCCAGGCTGGGGTTAGGGCAAGGACGTTTAAACCATGCCCGCCACCCCCTTTCCCCTCGTCAAAAAGCCTTACCAAGCTCCCCACTCTGGATGGAGAAGTCCTTGTTCAGAAGGAGCCACTTCTGGATTTTCTGAGCGTTGGAGGTGGCCTGATCGTTGACCTTCATGACCCCCTTCTGGATGGCGGTGTACACGGCCAAGTCTTTGTTCCCCACGATGTCGGAGACCTTGGTGGATTTGCTGCCCAGCTTCTGGCAAAACTGCACGGCTTCGGGGGTCAGCTCGTCTTCCGAGAGTCCCGTTTCCAAGTTCATCTTGCTCTAGGGGAGCAGAGGAGCGGCGTTGGGGCGGCCCTAAGAAGGCCTGCAGTGCCACCGTCTGGTGGCCGCTGGCCCTGCCCCAGGGTTTGTCTCGGAAGGCGGTAGCCGAGGCGGAGGTTGTGTGGGGCATTCAGACAACGTGGACAAACAAGACAACGAGTTTGTAGTTCAAGGCAGAGGCCAGAAACTTTTGCCCCCTGGAGACCATTCCTGGGGCCGCGGCAGGACCAACCTCGTCATCCTATCCCAACAGTGACGGGTGTGGAGCACAGAAGGGGAGGAGGACTTTCTCCCTTCCCCACCCCCCCAGCAGAGGACCAGCCCCATCCTAAGCTGAGTGACTCCTTGGGAGCATTTGGGACTTCAATAACCAAATATCGGAAGACTTCAGAAGGGCGGGATTCTGCAAAACGGAAGAGCGAACACCCCGCTGTGTGCAGCTTTCAATTCAAAATCCTAGTCCTCAAGCTTTCAACTCCGGAAGGGTTCTGAAAGGTCAACTTGTTTGGCTTGGAACCGATCCCCACAACGCCTTTCCGAAAGGGGTGACACCTCCCCCGCCCCCCCAATCAACCTTCTAGACGGAGCGGTGCTTCTCCACTTTGGCCACTGTAAGACGGCTGGACTTCAACTCTCAGCATTCTCTGGCCAGCCAATTCTGGGAGCTGAAGCCCCACCCGTCCGAAAACAGCCAATCTGGCAAACACACTGGGGAAGCCCAATTTGAACGTAGAGTAGAATGCAGCTACAGAGTTGGAAGGGACCTTGGAGGTCATCTAGTCCAACCCCCCACGCAAGGAGGAGACCCTACACCATTTCTGACAGAGGGCAGCCCAGTCTCTTCTGGAAAGCCTCCAGGGATGAAGCTCCCACAACTTCCATTGGTTGATTGTTCTCACTGTCAGAAAGTTTCCCCTTATTTCTTAGTTTGAATCTCTCCTGGATCAGTTTCCATCCATTTTTTCCTTGTCTGGCCTTCAGATGCCTTGGAGAATAGCTTGAACCCCCTCCTCCTCTCAGGGGCAGCCCCTCAAATATTGGAAGATGCTCTCCTGTCTCCCCTGGTCCTTCTCTTCCCTAGACTAGCCAGGCCCAGTTCCTATAACTGTTCATTGTATGTTTTAGTCTCCAGTCTCCTAATCATCCTGGTTGCTCTTCTCTGCCCTCTTTCTAGAGTCTCAACCTCTTTTTTATAGTGTGGTGACCAAAACTGGACGCAGGAATCTAGGGGTGGCCTTACTAAGGCTTTATAGAGGGGTGGTAGTAATACTTCACATAATTTTGATTCTGTGCCTCTGTATATACAACCAAGGATTGCATTAGCTTTTTTGGCGGCGGCTGCACACGGCTGGCTCATGTTTAAGGGGCCGCCCACTAGATGCCAAGGTTTCTCTCACAGTTACTGTACTTGTCCCTTTGCCTTTTTCCTGCCCAGGTGTAAAACCTTCCTTTTCTCCACCTTAAACGTTATGCTGTTGGATAGGGCCCATTCTTCCCTTGCGCCAAGATCTTTTTGGCTCCTGAGCTTGTCATCTGGGGTTATATTCCTGTCAGCTTAGCGTCATCTTCCAATTTGACAAGTTCCCCTTCTATCCCCTCATCCAGTGGCCCCCAACCGTTTTGTGCCACGGCCTGGTACCAGCATCACAAAATGATCCGCGGCCCAGTACCGGCATCAGCACACATGACAAGGCAAGGCGAGGCGAGCGACCAGCCAGCCAGCCGTCCCCGGCTTCTCCCCACCACCTTCAACTCCTCCTTTGTACCTTTGTCGATGGGCTTCGCTTCGGGACGGCTTCGGGACGGCCGCTCGGCTCGCCTTGCCTTGGGTGTGCTGAAAGAATCCTCGCGCCTTAGTTTCGTTCGAAGCCGCCCCCCCCCCTTCGATGAAACTAAGGCGCGAGGATTCCTTCAGGACCCAAACGCCGCTTTCCCAACCGGAAAAGCTCATCCGGAAGCACTTTCTCATCAAACAAGATGGCGGCGCCCAGCAAACCGGCGGGCCCGGTAGGAAATGTTCCACGGACGGTCCGCGGCCCGGTGGTTGGGGACCCCTGCCCTCATCGATGTCGTTGATGAAGTATTTGGATCACGAAAGATCTGATGGCGGATGGGAATGGCAACCCCTGGAGTTCGCCTCCCCCACCCTCTGGGTCCCGGGGTGCCTCGGGGAGGCAGGAGACAACCCGGCACTCACCTTAAGGGTCATCAGCATGACGAGGTATTTGGCTTTGTCTCCCACCAACATGACGTTACTGAGAATGGGGACGGCCTCCTTGACGGCGTCTTCGATCGGGATCGGGGGAATATTCTCTCCTCCCGCGGTGATGATTAGCTCTGCAACGGAAATGGCGTCAGAACCCCTCCGAGGAAAGTTATTGGGTTGGCTCACGCTTGCAGTCTACGGGAGAAACATGCTGCGGAAACCGGTCATCCTCGCCTCCCAATGGTTCCTTTAGTGACCACTCCAAATGGCAAAGGCCCTGGAGAAAGCGACTTATGACTGGTTTTCACCCTTACGACCGAATCACTTTTATCAAAATCCAGGAACTTGACTTCGGATAGTCCTGAAGGTTGCTTTTCCAGGAGGCAACTGGACTCTTTTTTTTTTCCTTTGAAGACGTTTCCCTTCTGATCCAAGAAGCTTCTTCAGCTCTGACTTCCCAAACATCCAATAAGAGCTGAAGAAGCTTCTCGGATGAGAAGGGAAATGTCTTCAAAGAAAAAAAAAACAACCAAGTGAAGTCCCAAAAAAAGCACCTTTGGGGAAGGGAAGGATTTATATATTCCTTGCAGACAGCTGGTCATTTGCATCCTTTGAGAGGGTCGTTGAGGCCACTTGGAGGTTTATCTGTCTCCTCGGGGTCCTCAGTGTTGTAGACCGGAAATAGGTGATGTCCTCAGTAGTTCCAAGAAGGCTCCGCGCCCATTTGCACCACTCAGGTGACTCTGAGGACACAGGTAAATCTCCAAGTGGCCTCAACAGCTCTCTAAAAAGGATGCAAATGATCAGCTGTCTGCAAGGAATATATAAATCCATTCCCCTCCAACCTGTCAGAACTGAAGAAGCTTCTTGGATGAGAAGTGAAGCGTCTTCAAAAAACCAGAAAGTCCAGCTGCCTCTTGAGAAAAAAAGCACCTTTGGGACAACCAAGACCTGGATGGCTGAGAATCTCTACGGACGTTTGGCTACCGGCATGTATCCGTGAAGGTTGCAGCATCCCACGGACATGGAATCACCCTGGGGACTTTCTCTCCTGACCCAGGGGACTGGATTACCTTTGATCCTCCCGGTGATGTACAGGAAGCCGTCTTCATCGTGCCGGCCCAGATCCCCGGAATGGAGCCATCCCTCGCTGTCAATTGCTTCTTTCGTTTTGTCTTCCATGTTCAGGTAGCCCATAAAGACATGGCGCCCGGCAAAGCACACCTCGCCGATTCCTTCCTGGTCTGGCTTGAAAAACATTGTCTGGCAGCCTGTAATCTCCTTGCCGCAGCTGGACGGGGGGAAAGGGGTCAAGGAAAGGGGTCAAGGGCTGGCGAGCATGGCCCACACGCGGACTGCGCCTTGCGGCGAAGCAGAGCAGACGCGCCACACTCACAAAGTGGGGTGGTATAAAAGAAAAACCTGAAGCGGTTCTTGTTTAACAAAACAACACACCCCGATTTAACAGCCTTCGGTTCAGGGGAGCTTGGATACAACAGACAATCTGTGTACAGTGTCTGATTTAACAGGCGTTCCCTCCCCGTCAGTCCGTTAAATCGAGAGTTTAGCTGAATAAACCAGAATCGAAGGCTCTTTGCTGTCCTTTGAGCTTGCTTGTTTTCTTGCAGGTGTTCACTAGGCAACACCCTCAATGCTAGTTAAGCTGAGTTGGAAGGGACCTTGGAGGTCTTCTAGTCCAACCCCCTGCCCCGCTCAGGCCGGAAACCTTGCTGCACTGAATTTCCAACACGGCCGCCCAAAATGTTTACAACTTTTTTGATATTTAGGTCCTTTTACTCGGAACTTGGTCGGTTCAGTTTTTTTTTTCTCTCCTAATTTCTTAATTTCCTTTCAGCTCTCTCTCTCCCCAAGCGTAAAAATGCAAGAGGCCCATGTTAACAGCTCCCCAACGCCACCCTTGCAATCTAGACTGTTTGCACAACAAACCCAACCATCTGCTTGGAGCCCCTAACACTTGGCGGCGAGCTTTCACATCTCAGCCAGCAATTTTCAGCACAACACAGCCGGAGCCCCAAACTGCCGTGGGAATTTTCCTCCTGCGACCTGTTCATCTGGGCAGATGAATTTAATAAATACATTTTTGCAAGGGACACGTGGCAGCCAATTCATCCAGGAACTCGAAAGAGATTCCTAAATAAGAAAAACCTTCAAATTTCTTCCCAGCTGGAAGTGAAATACAGGTCACCCTCAACTTACAACCTCACACAGTGGCCACTCAAAGTTATGGCAGACTCCCAACTTATGACCTGGTTACAAATTTATGATGGCACACCTCCACACACACCCCCCCCCATGGCCATAGGATTCTATCTTGGGCTCTTGGCAACTGACCTGCAATTAATCATATATATATATTTTTTTTGAGGAAAATTGGCATTTGTTTCTAGATTTCAGCAAAAATGCCTCCCAAACAATAGCTCTGCTTAATGACCGCAATGTTCATTTAACAACTGCTGCAAAAAAAGGGTCGTAAAATCAGCTATTGATGTGACGCCACGCGTTCTTTTCCAATCATCATGGTCAGGCTACCGTTTGTCCGGTGACCGTTCAAGGTTGCAACAGCATTGGAAAAAAGTGGCTTACGACCATTTTTCACGCTTATGACCATTGGAGCCTCCCCACGGTCACATGATCAAAATCTGGACGCTTGGCAACGGATTCATACTTATGACGGTTGCAATGTCCCGAGGTCCACGTGATCCCCTCTGGCGACCTTCTGACAGACAAAGTCGATGGGGAAGCCGGATTCACTTAGCAACTTAACGGCCGCAGTGATCTGCTTAGCAGCTGCGGCAAGAATGGTCATAAAATGGGGCAAACTCACAACAAAACGTTTTATTTAGCCACAGAAATTTCTGGCTCAACTGTGGATGAGAACTGTGGTGGCGCAGTGGTTAGAATTCAGTACTGCAGGCTACTTCTGCTGACTGCCTGCAGTTTGGCAGTTCAATCCTGACCGGATCAAGGTTGACTCAGCCTTCCGTCCTTTCAAGGTCAGTAAAACGAGGACCCAGATTGTTGGGGGGGGGGGGACAAGAGGCTGGCTCTGTTTACTGCCTAGAGAGGGTTGTAAAGAACTATGAAGTGGTATATAACTCTAGGAAGGAGAGATGGGAGGGAGGGAGGGAAGAAGGAAGGAAGGAGAGAGAGAATGGGAGGGAGGGAGGGAGAGATGGGAGGG